CCCGACCAGGACGTGAGGCAGGTGTGGAATGTGAACCACTTCCTCAACCCTCAGGCCCTGCCCCTGAGTCTAAGCTTAGGTTCTCCCCTCACCACTTCCTTAAAGAATAACAACGAACACTAACCTGTGCTGACAATGTGCCCTGAATCTTTGAAGCATTTCATTCCTTAATATCCACAAGGGAAGATCTCTTTTTGAGGATCCAGCTATAAAACCCATTACCACGAGCAAAACTCCAGCAATCCATGGGCTTCAAGTGTGGATACATTCCTGACTCCACTGGTTTTTAAAAGGCAGCTATCATGAACAGCAAAGGAAAAAAGCAGTTGTGCAAAAAGTGGGGACTGGGACTGTCACAAACATTAGGGAATCAATGCCTCAATAATAGGTCACTGTTAGTATTGTTAAGCTGTAAGTGACCAGCACTTCCATGCATTTACTCACTTCATTGTACAAGGCAGGTGCCTATGACCATCCCATTTTACAGATGAGAAAAAGGAGGACAGAGAGGTAGACACTGCTAGTGAGTGGGAAAGCTAGGATCTGGCCCAGGGGGGAGCTTCCTCGCTGCACCTATGGTTAGGTGCTTCAGCAGACAGTTCCCACTCAACTTGAAAATGATGTTTTGAGAGAGATGTTTCATTTACAGATAAATGAAAATTATCTTACAACTGGGAAGAGCTGGTACACCAAACAGAAAAGTGAAATGATTGAAAATGTCTTCCTCCTGTTTGAAAACACGCACGTGACTCTTTATCTGAAATGATTTAAATTTGGTCCAACTACACCGTTGCCCTGATACCTGTGGGAGATCCAACTGCAGTCAGAATAATGATGATGCTATATATGGAGGTCTGTGTAGAGGAGACAAGGGAGAAAGACAGGCTTGGATGTATTTGTGTGGGGGTGTTCACCCTGTTAATCGTCAAACCCACACACAATCAGACGCTAGTCAGACACCCTTGGAAAGGGAAAGGGTGATCATAGACAGCAGCCTACTCCTGCTCAGGTGCCTGAAATAGACAGGAGCCATGGAGGAAACGACAATTCAAGCCCGATTCCATATGCACTAGGGTGCCACACAGGTTTGTGCTGCTCCTTAGCCTGTGGGAATCCAGTCCCTCAGGTACAGGAAAATATACCAAAATGAGGTAGAATTAATTTGCAGAGGACTGTACTTGACTTTCTGGTAGAGTGTAATGTCTTCTGTGCATATTTTTTAAACAGTATGAATCCGCTAGAAAGTTAATGCTCCCCACAACCCTAGGAGGTACCTTTCACTACCACCTCCATTTGAGATCACATCAGTTGCTTATGGAATCGAATTGCATTGGGCTGGACGCAGCAACCATTTAAACTAATTTGTGGCAATAATCTTTTATTGAATCAACTTGTTTCTAGGAATAACCTCCTGAGGGCTTCTTTTTACCAACTTTGACACAACAGGGAGACAACAGGTAGAAAAGTACACACAGCCTTGGGGTCAGGACACTCAGACCATCTACACACCCATCATGTCTGCTCTGAGGCTCAGCACCCATCTTTGGGAATCAGAGAGTGACATCCACATGGTAAAATAAGCATCAGGGAGGGAGCCTGGCATCTGGAGCCAGATGGCTAGGGTGTGGGCCCATGTGACCTTGGGCAAACTACTTGACCTCCATGACCTTTTGTTTCTTCATCTGTGAACAGGCACAGTTAGTACCAACCTATAGGGGTGTGAGAGGATTAAATGAGTTGATAGTGTAAACTGGTGCTACAGTGCTGGCACACCATGAGGTAAATGTTAGGAGAATTTTTTGAGGAGGCCTCCACAGGGTGGTCTTCTTAAAACAGACCAACACAGACATGGCGGCCACAGAGCAGCCAAAGAGGGAGCTTTTTCCAGCGAGCTCACAGGGAGAGTATCTTGTGCAAATTCTCCTCCCAGCCTCCGCCCCAGCTTCTGCTTCCCACCCTGCCCCGCTTCTGTCCCCTCTCGTGGTTTTTGCCTCACATCCTGTGACTATGGGAAACTGGCCACATAACGTGGAATAATTCTGGTTCAGAAGAGCAGACTCACTTCCAAAGAGAATATTTTAAAGGGAAAAGAGGATCTCGGCCCTTTTCTTATCCCTTTGATGTATTTCATGGACTCTGTGAACATTATCACAAAAAGAGTTTTACACTAAAAAAAATATGGTCAGTTTTTCTGCTTCTGTGTAGGAAGCCCTTTGCCAAGTTTAAAAAGTCATTTGATTTTTTAAAAAACTATTTTTTTTTTTAGTTGTAGATGGACACCTTTATTTTATTTATTTATTTATTTTTATATGGTGCTTGGGTTGAACCCAGAGCCTCACACGTGCCAGGCAAAGCGCTCCATCACTGAGCTACAGCCCCAGACCAAAAGTCATTTTTTTTTTTTTAAAGTAGGAACTGAAGTCACACCAGAGTAGGTTTGGAAGCATAGGGTAATTCTTGGAGAACCACAAATAACAACCAAATGCTTTCTAATATGCGCCAAGGAATTTCAGAAACTTGCTGCAAATTCCCGTTGCTGTAGTATGTGTGTGCCTGCCTGGCTCGCTGGGGCATTTTGCATGTGTGGATCCATATATAAGAGCTCTCTTCTTCACAGACACCCACACACCCTATAAATGGCTTTGAGTACTTACCTAAATAGATAAGTACTTCTTAAAAATAAAAACGTTCTGACCCAAAGCAGTTGCATAGGAATGCACCCACTGGAAGGAAAGGGGGAAATAGGATTGGGCCCAGCCATTGGCACAGAAGCAAGAATGGTTAAATATTGTATTGAAAATACAATGAATTTGAGATTGATTACATTTTTTTTTACTTAACTTTAATTTTTATGTGTATAAAATGTGTGTCACATAAAAATGGAAATTATAGGGGCTGGGGATATAGCTCAGTTGTTGGAGTGCTTGCCTAGCATGCACAAGGCCCTGGGTTCAATCCCCAGCACAACAACAACAACAACAAAAATGGAAATTATAAATGTAACCCAAAATTTTAATAAAAATTAGATAATCATTCTGATGTTGCTGTGAGTAGAGAACATGCTTCCAAATCGTACAGCCTGAGAGGACTGAAAGTCTTTAAAAAGAATCTGCTTCTGTTTCCTAAACCAAATAATTTGGAGTATTAGATGACACAAAATAGTTAAAATTTAGGGGCCCAAAGAACTGCATCTGACCCTACCGCATCTTTGTATGGCTGTGTGACCTCAAGTACATCCATGGGCCTTGATTTTCTCACTTATCTAAACAGTGGACCAAAGGACACTTTGAGGACACATCCATGCCTATTATTGCAGGCTGTATGCCATGACCCTCTGCTATGGCTGTCGTCAGATCCAAGGACTCATAGAAACCTCCTTTTCTTAACTAGACTGATGAATTCCTCCAAAGTTTTTAGTAATGATTTTTCATGGTAAACCCTCCTAAATAATGGGGTGACTATTTCCACCCAGGTCACCTTCCCAACAACCTGGGGCTAACTGCTTCCTTTGGGCTTAGGACAGGGTAAAAAGCAAAGGACTTGAAACCTCACTAGGGGCCGGGGTATTGCCTTGCTGTGTAGTGATTGTCCTGCCCAGGCTGCTGTCACTCATCCACAGGTCACATAAATCACATGCTCAGAATCCAGTAGTGTCCGGAATAAGGAATACATAGATTTCCTTCCATGGTCAAAATCTAATCTCATGCAAATGCTTTGATAAGAACATTCTTATTTTTAAAAGTATATGTCTTCCACTTTAATAGGAAGATTTGGAATCATTGTTGTGAATTGCACAAAATTCCTCTGAGTGGCAATGACTTATCTCATTCTTATATATTAAGATTCACAGAGTTGAAGGAGGATTATTCCAGGTTTCTCAAAGACTCCTAATGCCCCGGGAAAGAGATGATGTAGAGCTTCCTAACTTGGTACCCAGAGTTCAGAATACATTGACTTACAAAAGTTATTAACTGATCTACCCAGTGTTATTTCGGATGAATATAATAGAAGAAAAGTACAATGTGCCACCATATTGGGGAAGGGAGAGGAAAACTGGTTCTCCTTGGATCCTTACAGGTAAGACAAGCCCTTGTCATAAATGATGATGACTCTCCTGATGTATGTCAAATACCTTCTTCCCACACTTCCTTCAAAGCCCTGAGTGCTGCCTTTTGAAAGAGGCCTTGTCTGATTGGCCATTAGAAATGCTGTCCCTTGACTCTGCTCTAATTTTCTACTTTCATTTTCGTCACATATTAGATATTTTGTGTATGCATTTGTCTATGTGCTCTCAGGAGCAAGCAGGCCTCCTGAGCTGGGAGGGGTGGTTTTGCTCCTCCGTATCTCTGTTCAGAGAACACATGTTGTAGGTACTGAGCAAGTTCTCAGATGAACAAATGTCAGAGTCTTCGAGGTAAATAAAGGTTATTGAAGAGTAAGCAGAGGGCTGGGGATGTGGCTCAAGCGGTAGCGCGCTCGCCTGGCATGCGTACGGCCCGGGTTCGATCCTCAGCACCACATACAAACAAAGATGTTGTGTATGCCGAGAACTAAAAAAAAATAAATATTAAAAAATTTTCTCTCTCTCTCTCTCTCTCTTTAAAAAAAAAAGAGTAAGCAGAAATGGCTGCATCAGTACCTTAGGCAAGTGGAGATAGCTATTCCAGCACATCGCCACCAAATGTTCTCCCATCTCAACCTCCATGATGGGCATTTCCAGTGCAAGGTTTTATGATTATTTCTCTTTCATGGACTGTCAAAAACGACAGTTTGATGTCCAACTCTATTTATGTCTTTGTGAAGTACTGGAGCTGCTTCCCCCGGCCTGGATTTAAGTGGAGGCTTCACCAAACATCACGTTTATCAATGGAAAATGTCCCAGAAAGCACTGGTCGTGGCTCTAGCTAACAGGGGTTCTCAAGAAGAGAGGAACCTTCCCAAGCCACCCTCACCCTTGAGCTACAGAGGTGTTCCTGCCATCAGATCACCAGAGCACTTACTGCCGGAGCAGGTGGCTTCACTGGGGCTGGAAGACATCGGCTGTGCACACAGTTGACAAAGGCAGTCTCTCCCATTGAACGTGACTCGATCTCCAGGTGGAAACGGGCGCCTAGAGACAGAAAGACACAGTCCTCAAGGTTACTTCAGAAACTTCATTCCCCTTCCTTGTGTCTTCAACTTGCCCTCTGGTGCAAATTTATTTACTGGAGGAGCATCAGCTAAAAATGTCTGAAATGCAGTCATGCCCAAGCCGGCCAGCTGGATATGGTCCAAACAAATAAATGTACCTCATTATGAGTAGAAAAGAGAAGGCACTGGTTTTTATGGGCAACTAGATAGTAAAACGGAATGATTTACCTCCACTCCTTAGTGGAGGGATGTCCCAACAAGTCACCCAGCAGGCACACAGGACAGTAAATTTCCAAATGGAAAATCTTCACCAAGAAACCTTTTAAATACCGTGAATTCCAGCTAAGTGCAGGGCCCCTCCCCAGCAGAACTGGTTATAGGCCAAGCATGAACTCTTTCAGTTCCATGGGACCATACCCAGAGTGCTGTGATAACTATGCTGAGTTAGATTTTGTCCTTCCTGGACATCGGAGTATTGCACAGTCCTGGGGACCCAGTTCTTTATAAGCCAAGAGAAATAGGACAGGCTGAAAATATCTGTTTAAGAATTAATAGTAGCTTCTTTTCAGAATGACACTTTCCTTTTACATTAGACATTCATCAATAATAGCACATTGCCACAAAATACCACCTTCTTCAGTTACCATTTCTCATCCCAGTTCACCAAGAGACAGCCTTTAAAAACAAGTCATTAGTTAACAAATGACACACAGTTTCCATTTCTGTTAACTTGCAATTGGCCAATTGGCCAACAATCTTCATCAACATGAGTTTTTAAATGTGTGACCCTGTCAATTAGGAAATGTGAAACTCACAGCGAGACATCATGAATCAGAGTCAGAAGCAATTGTTTAGAGCAAGTCTGAGCTTCTTGACATTAGTTTTTACTTTCTCGGCTGCTATCTCCCTTTTTAGTCACCTGTCTGTGACCTAACAGCTGGTGATTGACTATATGCACAGGTAAACTTGGTCTTAACTCCACAAATGTGTCTGGTGCCAGTAATCAAGAAGGGCAATATATGTATGTGTGTGTGTGTGTGTGTGTGTGTATTTTTTTAAATATGTACCTGAGATTGAACCCAGGGGCACTTAACCACTGAGCAACATCCCCAGCACTTTTCTATATTTTATATAGAGAGACAGGGTCTCACTGAGTTGCTTAGGGCCTTTGCCAAGATGCTGAGGCTGGCTTTGAACTTGCAATCCTCCTGCCTCAGCCTCCTGAGATGGTGAGATTATAGGTGTGCCGCTATGCCTGGCATGGGCTTTATATTTGTATACCCTCAAATATTATTCAAAGTCCTAAGAAGAGATGGGGCCCTCTCTGCTGTGGTGCTATCATTTTTCATCATCTGAATAAGCCCCAGAAAGGGTAAGAGACTTGCCTGGGTTGACCAGTGATGGAGACTAGACAGGTGCAGATGGCATCTACCAACTTAGCACTTAACTCTGTCTTTAATAAGCAAAATCACTGCTCTGGTGGGTGCCAGAGGGTCTATGGCTTCACACTGACAAGTTAAACCTGAACAGGCCTCAAGTCCATTCTGTAAGGAGGCTTAAGGGCCCATCAACACAGCAACTCAACAAGCACAGGTTCTTCTGCCTCTGAGGAGGGCCAGGACTGGGGAGAGGCAATCGAGGCACCTGTAGCTCAACATGTCGAGAAATGCCCACTCTCCAGGGTTGACCAGCACTCGCAAGATGCCCAGAACAAGCCCCCTTTACATCCTGCACTCCAGGATCCTTGCTTACCTCACCCAAGTCCAGGCCCCCTTCTCATCCACACTTTACTTTTTTAGACATGAATCCTCTATGGCACAACCCAGAGACCAGTGTTCAATGTGTGGCCAGGCTTCTGAACTTGAAGTTTTGTAACTTGTAGCACTCTTTCCAATACTTTCCTCTCTCCCTACATCCTCTGATCATATGGGCTCACTTCCTTCTGTTATTTGAATGAATGTTTGTAGTAGGAGGAGAACTGGATTTCGAGGAAGAAAACCTGAGTTCAAATTTTAGCCTTCAACTGTTAACCTACAAAAGTCCCTTAAACTCTGAGACTCAGTCACTCAAAAGTAGGGTCATTAATTCCAAATTGACTTCAAAGAATTTCTAACAGGGTTCAGTTAAATTGTATACGAACACAACTTGTGAACCCAAAGGAGGCCTCAATTCAGGTAGAGTTATCATCATCTAGAAGCAGCAGTGGCTACAGCCCTATAATACAGGCTGAGCAACCTAAATCCACAAATCCGAAATGTTCCAAAATCTGAAACATTTTTGAGTGCCAATAAAATGCCATGGTGGAAAATTCCACAGCTATCCTCCTGTGGCCACAGTCAAAATGCAGGTGCACTAAAAGTGTTGTATAAAATTACCTTGAGGCTATGTTGTGTAGGTGCATACGAAAAATGAATTCCATGTTTCGACTTAGGTCCCCAAGATATCACCTATATAAATGTTCCAAAAAAAAAAAATCTGATGTCCAAAACACTTCTACTCCCAAGAATTTTGGATAAGAGATACTCAACCTGTAGCAACAGCAACATCTCTGCTGCCTCACATGTCCAGGGACAGGGCTCTGATTGGTAAATGTCTGGCCATCAGTACACCAATTTTAAGACCATGATCTCTCATGATCAAGAACAGAAGGGCCCTCAGAGTTTACCCGGACCAAGGGGGCTGGGTAACTTCACATTGGGAACCCTCCAGAAACTACTATTTGTTATGTGTGTCTTAGTAGAAAAGCAGGATAGAAATTGATGTTTTTAAAGAGATCCCAGCCCTATCCAATCCAGAAATTATAGTGACTGGCCAGACTTTGGGGATCTCTCTCAGCTAGTGCACAGCCCTTTCTTTTATAGCAGAGGCCACTTCCTTGAAAAGCTATTCATAAAAATCTCAACTCAACCCAGGAAGAGGGGCTCGGACCTGGGTCTCCTCCATGGTCAGCCCAGGACCCTTGACCAGGCCGTGGGACACAGCCTGAAAAGGGAGGAGACAGGATGGAGTTTCACTCTTGATTAAATCAGAAAATAATTAGATTATGAATCTAGAATTTCTTAATTATGATTTTTAAAATATGTAATTAAGAAATGGGCTAACTGCTATGAACTTACTTAAATAATTTTGTTAAGAGTATTTCACCTGTCATGTATCATCTTGTTGATTATGCAATATTAAATCTACCCTTCCAGAGTTGACATCTCTCTGACTTAGAAACATGAAACACTGAAAACCAAAACAAAACTCCACCTCTGAATGGCAGTTTCAGATAGGCCAAGTGAGAGGGAGCTGGGTGCCAGAGGACATGGGAATACTGAACTGGAACTGACCCACACAGTAGCTGCCCCTTGTCAGCAAGTCTCCTGGTCAGGAGAGTCAGACCCATCTTAGTTTTATGATCTGTTTCCCTCACAACACAACAGCAAAATTTCCCACTCACATTTCACAGTTTCCTTCTTCTCTTAGACTGATCATTTTAATCAAACTGGTTTGTGCAGTTAAGTTTTAACTTTGGAAGGTAGATACCTAGACAGCAGGGGTTGGCAAACTCCTTTCCCTAAAAGAAGATTCTAAATGTCCTTATAGGCTTTGTGGACCACATGGTCTCTGTCACAGGCCTACAGCTCTCCTTAGCAGCTGCAGATGATATGCAAACAAATGGGCGTGGCTGTGTGCCAATAAAACTTTATTTACAAAAACAGACATTGGGCCTCATTTGGCCTGTGGGCCATAGTTTGCCAATATCAGCCATAAAGAGACTATTTTAAACCCAGACATGCAAACATATGTGTGAAAGAACATATACTTCCAAATAAGCTTTTTCCTTCTAAGCAGTTGTCCATTTCCTCCAATATTTTCATTATTCTAAATGTTTGGAGCTGCCTGAAGTCTTGGTTTCAAGCCACTTAAAGTCATGTCGTGTTACTTTGTAGAGGACATCATGTATAAAGTTTCCCAAACCAAACCAAATCACATTTTTGACTAAGATTGAAAATACAACAGGAAGAGAATATTAAAAAAGAGACATTTAAAAACTAAGTGCTACTCAAGACCAAAAGAGCCATCCCAAGCTTGAATGGCTAAAACCAGTGTCTCTCTGTTGGAGGAAGCTGTAGACTTGGGCAGATAATCACTTACTTGCAGATTGTACAAGCAAAGCAGTTGGGATGGTAGGTCTTGCCCAGGGCAGTCACCACCTCGCCCTCCACGAACTCCCCACAGCCATGGCAGCGTGTCCCGTACATCCGCTGGTAGTCCAGGGTGCAGAGGTACTCCCCGTTCTTTATGAAGAAGCCCCCTTGGGCCAGGTCACAGCCACACACTGCAGAAAGACAAGTTCACATCTGGTCATCATCTGGCAAGTGCTGGCATCAGTGGCCTTCAACTGAATGCTGGTTGCTCACTGTGGTTTCAATGGTTTGGGGCTAGGGGAGGGGACGGATACAAAGAGCTATTTATTGCCGGGCTCTGCTTTCTCTCTTCCTCCCTCCCCTTGGGAGACACGTAATATCTCACACAAGTAAAATCCACTGGCTGGGCCTCAACCGCTTTCGTGGCATGTCTAAGATTTAGAGGTGATCAAACAGCCTTTGATGGAAAGATATGCTGGGTTCAGGTTGTCTCAAATATGAAGAAAGGTGTCCCTGGCAGTGCTATTAGGAAAGGTGCCCACTGCTTGCCCTCACAACTGCGTGGTTTGAGCCAAGATTGTTACTGAGTTGAGTAATAAGTTCCCATTATACCAAAAGCAGTGACTGAAATTTCCAATAGCTACTTTTTCACACTCTGGAAATACTTTCCCATAGCTATGAAAAATTGAGACATTGAATTTTCTCTTTATGCAGTAAATAGGATAAGCCGATTATTCACGTATTAGAAAGAGAGAGACAAAAATGGACGGGCAAAAGAAGAAAGAAAAGGGGACATGTCTAGGATAAAACTGTCATTCGTGACCTTAGTACATACAAAAGAGAACGCTTCTTTGTGTCTGGATTTTGGTATCTCTTTCAAAACTGCCCAGCTGTGAAATTTGGAGCTGATGCAAACAAGCAGGTCTTGGGATGCCAGGGACTTGGGCCGGTCTGCATGTTCAGACCAGATCCAAGCAGGTCACAACAACCTGTCCCCAATAAAGCCTAAAGCAAAACCTTGATAGTAAGGATTTTCCACTGGCAGACTGAGAAGTAACAGCTAAAGCTGGGAACCTCTGGCCTTCACCTCTCCATCCCCAGGCTCAGGTGACTCCTGTATAATTAAAGCTCTTAGGCAAACAACCCAGGATTCTTGATGATTCCTGGAAGGGGCACTCAGGTGGAGAGGGGACAAGGTGAGTTCAGTCACTAAAATGCTTTCCAAAGGAGCTTCAAGAACACCTCCAGGGTTCCCCCTGATTAGTTCCCAAAACATATTAATGCACCTGATGAATTAATGAAGAGCCCAGATTCTGATAGAAGTAGCTCCTCCCCCACCCTTGGTTAGCACTCTGAAAGATATTCAAGGTGACACAGAAGCCACAAATTAGCTTTACACTGTGAACTCATCTGTCTTTGTTTAGCCCAACACTCCACCCCTATGACTTTCTTTGCAATTTATAATTAAGTAACCCAAGATTATGGCTGGAGTCCACCACGCCTGAAACCAACCACACTATAAATACTACTGGGATCATATTCTCTGGAAAACAGCTAGTCCACCACCTGCTGCCTCCTCTAACCTGCCAGCATCGCCTCCTGCCCCACAGATCTCACACCTGCTCCTTCCTTACCAAGTGGGCTGCAGGAGCCCAAGGATGGACTAGCCTCATTCTGACCACAAATTCCTCCAAAAACAAGAAACAATGAGTGGCATAAAGCGGTGTCACAGAAAACTGTGCACATGCCAGGCAAGTGCCCTATCACTGAGCCACGTCCCCAGTCTGGGAACACAATTGAATCCTATCTCCAACTTGGCAGGGCCCTACCAGTTTCCCTCCTCAGGGACATTAGCAGTTCTGATGACTCGGTTACTCTTCCAAAATTGGTTACTTCTCAAATCTTTAATTCACTAGACCCTCTCTTTACTCTCTCCTCCAAACATATAGTCTGGGTACAAAAACTCATGGATTGTTTATAAAAAGATCTGGTGACAACAGGATCATCTTCATGCCAACATACATTGTTGAGACAGTTTCAACGCTAATGTTGAAGGCAGTGGAATTTCTCTGAGCCTTCCTTAGGGTCTCTCTCCATGCCGTCTTTTCTGGTTCACATGATTTTGTGAAACTCTTCTTTATTAAGTCCTAGCTTTTCTGAACTTTTATTTTAAAAAATGACTTTTTAACTCTCAAGAGATGCAAACTTCACCCCATTGTGATTTGATTTGGCTTCTCCCTTGATTTCAAAGCAGTGGCCCAAGTTGGCTTACCAAACTATGTCAGCTTTTTCCTGGTGTTTAGGACAGCAAGGAAACCAGCGTTTCAAGAGAGACTCACAGGGGTCTGAGTCCTTATGGGCACATGTGACAGGCAATGAAAGGGAAAGTTCATGTGGCCAATACATGAACGATACTTAACATTTTTACTTTCCCAAGATTGGAACAGTGGTGGCACGATCTCAGGTTCTTTCCTCCTCTTTATCTCTGAACATTCCAGCTCAGTCTCAGCAGCCACGCCCCTATATACAGGTAACCCCCAGGGACACTATCTCCTTTCCTAAAATTTAAGGCCTCTTGGGGACAGACCTCACCACTTTAGCTGAGACTTTGTGCAAAGGACTCTCAAATCAGTCTGATCTCTGTCTGAAACGTCTCCTGCAGGCTTCAGACCCAAGGTGCAGCTGCACCCACAGCACAGCCCATCTCAAGCTCAGCATTTTCCAAAAGGTCCTATCCTCTCAGCTCCCCTGAAACCCCACCTTAAAATCTGCTTTACTACTTCTGTTTCCTTGCAATAAATCAGCAGCTGCAGCCTTTCTCCCATTCTTATAACAATATTTTCAACTGGCCACTAAATCTAATCTAGTCCCTCAATAACATGTTTCTCAGACCCATTCCTCTTCTGCCTTCTACCTGTCACTGTGCAGACCCTGCCCTTCAGCCTTGTTCTTCTGCATAGAATTTTGTTATAAATGGTATTTGCACTGGCAGAAAAGAAAAAAAAAGATTGGAACCAACCTGAATTTACATCAGTGCAACAATAGTTGAATAAATTATGGCATGTTTAGTCTATGGAGCTGGCATTAAATAAAAAAAAAAAAAAACTAAATCAGAACAATACATAAAACCAGAGCATGGTGCTATATCATGCCAAGGAAAGCAAGTTCACAAAAACAGAGGGTTATTAAGTTGGTTCTCTCAGGATGATGAAGAATCATAACTTTTTCTTCATATGCCTAAATGTTAGCTCATCTACAAATATTTTAACTGATGATATACATATATAAAATTTAAAAATGATTAGGATGATTATGAAACATAAAATATGAATATTCATATGAAACATAAAATGAGCCATCATCATCATTTTTAAGTAGACAGCTCGGTGGCCCTGAGCACATTCATACTGTCACAATACCATCCTCCACCACAGAATCCTCATTTTTCTTGCAAAGCTGAAACTCTGTGCCCCATAAACGATTACTCCTTTTTCCTTCCTCCCTCCAGCCCCTGGAAGCCGCTGTTATATGCTCTATGAATCTGACTGCTCTAGGTACATCATATCAATGAAAGCTCACCTTTCATTGATATTAAGAAAAATTATCCAAAACCTAATAACACCTTTAACAAGGTACAGGGAGGAAGCATGTTTTTTCAATGTTGTTCTGGACATTCCTTAACAGCGCATGCAGGAACAGACATGTTTCAAAAGAAGTAGTACAAATGATCAATAATTATAAGAAAAAAAGTTCAACATTTTTAGCCATCAGGAAAATGCAAATCAAAACTAAACTGGGAATCCATCTCACCCTGGTCAGAAATACAGCTATCAAGAATACAAATAACAATAAATGCTGGCAAGGATGTGGGTGGGAGGAATGCTTGTACTCTGCTGGTGGGAATGTAAAATGGTGCAGCCACTATGGAAGTTAGTATTTAGGTTCCTAAATAAATTAAAATTAGAACTACCATGTGATCTAGCTATACCACTTTTCAGTATATATCTGAAAAAAATTAAAAAGTATACTATGGAGAAACCTACATGTTTATTGAGACACAATTCACAATAGACAAATTAGGAAATCAGCCCAACTTGACAAATGAATGGATAAAGAAAATATGGTACACAAACACAGTGGAGTATTATTCAGCCATAAAGAACAACAAAATCAAGTTATTTGCCTCAAAATGGATGGAACTGGAGATCATCATGTTAAGCTGAATAAGCCAAATTCAGAAAGACAAATATTTCATGTTTTCCCTTATATGTAGAATCTAGGGGGTAAAAAGACACCAGGAATGTATCAGGGAGATTATTAGTGAAGAGGAAGGGGACCAGGGAAACAGGTGGGCAGGAGTGGGTAATGGGGGATGGGAGTGACCAAATTATGTTGTATGCATATCAGAACACGACACACGAAACCTGCTGTTCTTTGTCATTAGTGTGCACTAATAAAACTATTGAGAACTTCAAAAAACAGCTCACACAGGATTATTTCATTATCCAGCGAGTCTAGATCAGAGTTTGACACGCTTTTTACCATTGATTCAAGGCCCAGACTTTGGAAGCTAATTTTAACTCTGCCCAGGGAGCTGCAGAGGACTTCAGCCAGGTGTTACCATCCTGCTGAAGCAGTGATCAGTTCTCCAACTACCCAGCATCTCACTGCAACATCCTTTCCTGAAGGCCTGTATAACCCAACCCTTTGGTTTTCCTTCAAAGCAGCATTACATTCTGCTGGCTCCCTCATTAACGAGTTAAATAAATCCCTGACACGTGCTCATTCTGTGTTTGTATAAGAGTTATAAACTTTCTGAAAATTGCACTCTGACAAAACTGACAAAAGCATTATTCTTCTCAACCCAAAATACCTGAAGTTGAACATTTATTTATTTATTTATTTATTTTTACAAAAAGCTTTGGTCTGTTTTATATGAACAGCTTAGCGAATACTTTTAATTGATGGCATGAAGCAAAAAATTTTTTCCCATCTACAAGACCACAAAAATCACAATTCATAAGATCAAAGCAAACCTCAGTAGGATATATTTAGATTTCTTACTTTAGGGGTTCCACCTGTGTTTGCTGTAGATGAAAGTTAACATAAGCCCAGGGAAAAGCAGAGATTCCTTTCATTAAAACATAGGGCAGCCAGTGGAAGGAATGAATTGCTTTCTTCTCTATGGTCA